TCTGTTAAATAGCTACCACTGGGTGTTTCTGTTCAGATATATATCATTCCTGTATTTTTGTATACAAAACTATTATTTTTGCGTTTTTCTTAGCATGTTCACTTTCCCCGTGCTTCTCTGTTTACGTTTGGGTTGGTTTAGTTTGGTTTGGTTTATTATTGTTTAACGTCATATCAACAGCTATGGTCATTTGAGGACGGCCTCCCCTGTGTGCAAGATGCATGCTTGTAGTGTATGCGTGTGTGTTTTTGGAGGCTGTGATATGTTCGTGTTTGTATCCTAATGATAGGGCGGAACTGATGCCGACTTTATAGTGCTACCTCACTGAAACAAACTGCCGAAGACGCCCAGCAGGACACCCCATCCGGTCACATTAAACTGATAACAGGCAAACCAGTCGTCCCACTCCTAACTTGCTGAGCGTTAAGCAGGAGTAGAAACTACCATATTTACAGACTTTGGTATGTCTCGGCCAGGGGACAAAACCCAAAGCCTTCCGCACAGGGGCGAACGCTCAACTATAGGCCAAAAGTGAGGCATTGTCAAGGGAGACATTAGGAAGAAAAAAGTTGTTTAGAAAGAAGAGAAAAGATAAGATCACAAATTTAGTCGCCTCTTACGATCATGCAATGTGTGCAGCAGGTACAATTATTACGCCCTACCTGCAGGGACTCTCTATTTACGTTATTATCTACCATTGTAATCGAGGAATAAGATGGGTTCTTTCCTGTGAGGTTCTCTGCTTGGCGTGAATAGCAGTAGGAACTAATTTTAGTACTACTCTAAAGTCAGATTGCAAGTAGCCAAATACGCCAACATACCGCTTCCAACAACACGCATATATTACACACAATGAAAAGCGTCCTTAATTGACCCTTACTGTTAATATGACGCCCAAGGCTGTAAAACCAAATCAAACCATTGCCATCACTATACCTGCCGCATCATGGCAACATTTGTTTTATATGCATATTTTCTCCTTTTCCGCCCCAGCAGAATAGAATGGGTACTGTTGCCGGGCGGAGACAAACCAAATTCACTCCTTTGCTGTTCTCTGAGTTGGAGTTTCATATCAATGTATCAGTTTCATGAAATTTCAGTTGAAACTCACTTTTAAATCGTCCTCGTATAGCCATAGCTAACATAAACCCACAAATAAACTAAACCATGTGAACACTTGTGAAAGTTTGGAGAGAGAATCTTCTCAATGCATGACTGTATTTATGGTTTTTTATACCCCGAAAAAAAATACCGGCATGGGGATTTAACCGTCACGTGGGGTGTACTTCCGTCTCTATGTAGTGTCTGTTTGGGGTTTAATGTCCTCGCAACAGCCAATGTCATATGAGGACAGGTGCGTAGGACACATCCTGAAACATAAAGTACATAGAAAAAGAAGATGACAGAAAAGATAGGAAACGAAACATATATGTTCCTTGTCCTAATGATAATTCGAGAACGAGTGATCATACAAAGTCTAACTTGATGTGTTAGTGGCTGTAGTGGATACAAAGAGCCCTTTAAATTTTGGGCGTGGTCCGCCAGAGGTCAAGGTACCGTTGCTAAAAATATAATGTTGCTTGGTTGGCTTGTCTGGATCATATACTGAGAACGAATTATCTTACAAAGGTCACACTTGCTGTGCGAGTTACCCTAGTGAATACAAATAACTATATTGGGCGTGGACCATCAGAGATCAAGTTAACCATTATTAAATAGAATTCTGCTTGGTTTAACTTTTTATGTATGATTACTTGAGAACAAATAGCCATTCGTACTTAAGATGTGAAGTGAACTGTTAATTTTGCTTCTTTGAATGATAACTTTAACACTTGTATAATTCACTTGTCTTTCGTGTACCTTGTAAATGGATGATTAGCATGTCCGTATAAGACAATTTCTACAGATTTGTGCACTAGTTAACTGCACTTTTCGAAAACAAATACACATGATGGGCGCATAGATAAGCTGGCGGCCTTCTCGTTTTCATTCCTACCTACTTATCCCTTTACTGTGGTGTCTCCGTTGCCACCTCTACTCGAGTTGTCAGAATAACATGACCATGACGATTGTCTTTCTGGTGTATCAAGTTCATTGTTCAGGGAGATCACTTGTCAATTTATGGTTGACCTTAAGTGACCCTTTCATCGGTGATCAATCTTTTCATATAACCTAAGCTGTTCCGGGGACGCAAAACCGAGAACAGGAACACGCAAGATAATCATGATCACTCTATTTAAAATTATGATGTACAGATGTATACCTGTGTGACCTGGGGCTTCGATTTCTGCACCGAGACTTGTAAAATGATAAAAAAAATAATTTGTAAACGAGCGCATTTAAATGAATAAACATACCTGCGAGCATGTTAGTCGGTGGTGAACGATACACAGGCAACTTGTCGAATGTTTTCTCCCGATAATACAGGTTTTGTTGGTGTCTATATAAAACTTATATTAGGATTTCTTGAATATAAATTATAAGACCGATAACATCATAACCTGTTAGTGCGATTTAATAACACAAGTTGACGGTGACTACAGTGCGTGACATCCTAAAAATACATACCAGGTATGCATGTTAATGTCGACAATGCTTTACGACAGTTGGTATTACACTATTTGTAAATAATATTTGAATATGACAAACTTACACGGCGTAACTTAATCAAGATAAGGACCTTGTCAAATTGGTATAAGCTTGGATAACCGGGTCTATTAATAGACAGTATGCTGACGGAAGGGTGGGCCTAATATAAATCATACAGTCTGGGTAAGGGAGAAATGTCTTGGATGATGTATCATCTTATGGAAGCATATTTACGCCATCGACGGACAGGAAACGTATGTCGACACACTTTCAGAAAAATATGTCAGCATAAACAGAGGGGGGGGGGCGGGATCCAAAGTTTTAGATCATTCTTTAAAATGTTCCCGCATGACACTCATAACCTATGCTATTTCCTTTTTTAACTATATGAAACATAAAGTGTCATAGTAGTCACTCTGTATTGGTTGATATTTAGGTTCATTAGTATAGTCATGTCTCTTGTGACCTCTTGTACTTAATAAAGCACTGTCATACTCGTGATATCGAGTCTTCTTATATCTTGAAAACGTGTTGGTACATTGTACCTTACTGGGAAACGTTCTATATTAACGTACCTTTTAAATAAGGGTATTTTGGTAGCTATCTTTCCTTTCTTTCTTTTTTTACTATCTGCTATCTCTTTCGATGGTTCCCTAGGTACCCATCCTCGTATGGCCCTAACTGTTGCGAGGACGAAAACCAAATACATACAAACAACTAAAGCAAAGAATAGCGCGGACCTGCTAGTGGTGTCGTCTCTTTTCAAATACTCCATTTCTCTATTTGTCCCGTCTGTGGGGTTTGGGGCTAATTTGTAGGTAGAAACATGAATTATCTCCGTTGAGGCGCCCAGGGAGTGTAATACACTGGTAAATATTAATATTTTCTATGGGTACTAACAACGTGATATCAGGAAAACTTCCATGACGAAAAAGTCGCAATCAATTATATGGCTTGCATAGATGATAATTTTCTGTCCAGCAGCCATGTGACTCTACAACAGAAGGGCGAGAACGACAGGTAAATATCTGATGAACTCTGATTTTGTTTCATTTATCACATTCATTTAACGATTGTAGCTGCTCACTGAATTCAACATCTGAATGTATTTGAAAGAATAAACTATATTGCATAATCACCGACTGTTGTACCGCAGACTCTACCCCTGCAGGTCAGGGATCGAGAAAAGACTACACCTGCTGTTACCCCCTGCATGTAAAGTACGAGGCGACAAACGTGGGAAACCCCCTGCAGAATTGGGTATTTGCTTTCTTGCTTCATAGCACCTTGCTTGGCAATACCTCACTTCTGGCATTCGTTGAACGTTCGCCCCGGTAAGGAAGGCAATGGATTCTGTTCCTAGACCAGGACATACTAAAGTCATTAAAACTGGTAGTTGTTATTCCCTGCTTAACGTTAAGCATTTAGGGTAATGACAACAACCGGTTAATCTGTTGTCATTATGTGACCGGGAGGGTATTTCAGTGAGATAGCAATATAAATTCGGCATCAAATCCGCGCTATCACAAGGAGGCTATTACACCATCATACCATGTCTCCGGTACACAGGCACGCTTACACCACACACATGGAGGCACGTCCTTAAATAGCCGTAGCTATTGATAGAACGTTAAACAAAAATAAGTAAACAGCGCAACAACAAGGAGACAAGTACACCAACATACCCTGTCATTGGCTCACATACATGCATGCACGCTTACACAACACACATGGAAGTACGTATTTAAATTAAATAAGCTGTTAATAGGACGTTTAAAAAACTAAACAAGACCAGTCATCATGTGCTGTCTCTTTTGCAATGAAACATTTTGTGCAAGCCACACTTATTTGTCTGACCGTGCATCTGTACTCTTTGATGTGGGCAGAGCCAAAGTAATGCAATGGGAAATGAAAGGGAAAAATGCCTGTAGAGACTGAAAAAAGAAAGACAAAAACGTTTGTAATTCCAACTCGAACCAAAGGCTGTGTTAATTGTTATGAGTTTCAATAGATTGTTATCTGGGTGGGTAGGCAACTTTCACCTAAACCCTTTTTGTTATCACTTCTTTTAATGGCATTATAACGGAAAATCAAACATAATTTGACTGAAATATTCTTTACGATTTTTAACCAGCGAGTATACAAGTTCTTTTTGTTATCTTTTCCGACCTTTAAATCACAGTTGTAATATACAAAAATCTTGAATCAGAGATATGATTATGAAGTGGGCGTGGTTTTGTAAAATATTTGTATATATATACACATTTTGCAGCATTGCATCGGTACATATTAAATTTTTAATCATTTAGTGTGGAATTACTAAGCGGTTGTATCCCCTAGATAAGGGGAACGTTTATACTTCCGATTAATATACATACATTTTCATACCCACTAACCAGGAAGTTAAATTTGATCCCAAAATGAATAACGAGGTTTTTCCTTGCGACTAAACATTTGTATATATGGGACAGATTGGCGAATACAACTTGTGAAAGCGTATGTAAGTACTGTTACTAGATTTGCCGATTCATTTGTGTATTTTGTATAACATATATTGTGTAATATTCTATATATCGCCGATACTATTAGTGATTCAGGTTTTTTCATGGGGTTTACTACTAGGGTCTGAATGTGTATCCTGGGTAGATGTCAATGGTAAGGGGGGAATTACTTTTGAAGTGTCAGGAGTTTGGGATTGTGTACTGTGGTGAGTGGAGAGACTTTTAACAACACTAAGGAGAGGGTTTGGAATTGCAGCAAGTGGGGGTGTTATATTATTTGGATTCTGTATGGGTTCCAGGTAAAGAAGATTATGTATGGGCGCCTATAAAGGGGACATGATAATGTATTAAAGGGATTAGAGAGAGACCCGTGATAGTGAACAAAGAAGAGAACTTCGTGCTGATAATCAGTGAACATTTTTTTTACTACTGCATGATCATTAGAGGCGACTTATCAAAAGACATATTCATATTGACTCTTGTGGGCCCCTATGGACTAAATTTCTGGGCCATTACTCTGAAATGGTTGGGATACGGAATCCATAGCCATATATAACATTGCTGGGCATAAATATACAGGTGAGAGATACCGGCCCTCTGGGCCTTTTGTTTTTGTATGTTTTACGGCGCATTGACATTGCATGTCGTTTAGGGCAAAACGACAATAAAAATAGAAATACACAAAACAAAACAAAACACAAAAGGTGAAATATATGTATTTCATTAGAAAGAGAGATTGAGTGTGAATAAGCATATATTGACCGCATAAACACTGTATCAAATAAACTTTAATATAGACGGTATATTATAGGATCTGTCACGTATTTGTTTGAAATCAACGCATGAAATCATAACATGTTTTGACGGTAAAGTGATGATAATATGCATAAGGTTGGTCTTCTTATATAAAATGGTCTTCCTTAGGTACAATGTACTTATGTGTGACGTAAGCATGGTCTATGCACAGTCGCGGTATTACAACTTCATCTCTGCGGGCTGCTCTACTTTAGCACATTAACCTACATTAGGTTAAATTGCAGATATGTTATTGAATGCTAAAATCTGAATACGGCAGCTAAATACACGAGCCCACGAATTGGCCTCGTTATATTACATATAAAGCTATTCACACCCCTGCATTATTATGAACCATGTGTTAGGTAGGTGCTATTTATGTACTGATGTTAGCCTGGTAACCGGAGAGTAAAATAGTTTAAACAAATATACATAAAACACGAGAACTAGTTCACGACATAGGAACGACTATCGGGTTTTTTTGTATTTGAAAGTGTCATAGCTTGTTTTGTTGTCCTACTCACTTATCAGATATGTATGATGTATTCAGAATGCAAATTCTTTCGGTGACCGATCTATTATATTATTAGTGAAGATTCCTTACAAGGGTTCTCTGATTGAAAAACATGGTACAACATTGTGTACAGGGAGTGCTGTACATGGCGTATTTGCAGGATAATTGTTGGACAGTGGTTGAGTCGAAGGGGTATAGTTTATTGATAGGGAATGTGTTAGTTGGGTCAATGCAAACGGTAGTGTACATGGTTAATTTGACAAGGAAGTTCACTGGAGGAGAATTGTACATGATATAAAAGTTTTACTTTATAAACATACCGTGTATGTATTAAACATGTCGGAACGTTTCCAGCCTGACTGGTCCCTTTGTCAAGCGATGACTCCGATGTATAAGATTTTTACGATACAGACGGTATGTGTTTAGGTTGAGGCAGGTTGGGTTTTACATTGTTAAAACAGGATGTTAATTGACTGTACATGATTTATTGGAGAAAGCTGTTATAATTGAACGAACAACTAGAGTTGTAAACGGTGTATTAGCTTATCTTGCCCGAAGGGCGTTGTCCGTCCGGCGTCAACTTCTGATGGTGGGCAATTCAAAGCACCCTTCGTCCGTGATCCATCCTTAAACATTTCTTGTTATCGCTATTTCCACATCAAGTACATGTGGGATCTTTCTCTTTGTTTTTCTTTTTCATAAGAAGGTTCCCTTTTGGTCCTTAGTTGTGAATCAACAAAATGGCTGACAGGCGTTTAACAGTAAATGTTTGTTATCGCTAATTCTACGAAAGTACTACAGGGATCTTTCTCAAATTTTATACGTAGGTACCTCTTGGCCTGCTATTGTGCATGTTAACCTCTGAGACTGATCGGATGAACACAATGGCTGACAGGCAGCAATCTATGAATTTAACTGTGAATGTTTGTTATCGCTTTTTCTCACACCGTCCCAGTTGGGTCTTTCTCATTTGTTATGTAAGTTTCCCCTGGTCCTTCAATGAACATTTTTACTTTTGAGACTTATTGAATAAACAAAATTGCCGACAGGCAGCCGTCTTGGATTTTGACAGTAAAAGTTTGTTATTGCTAATTCTCAGAAAAAACTCAAATTTGATATGTAGGTTCCTTTTGGTCCTTAATTGTGCATGTTGTATTTTGAGAACGATTACAAAAGCAAGCTGATTGCAGATCTTTCTGATATTGCAACGATCAATATTGATACACTATAATGACGTAGTACAAGACATACTTGGTTCACCCCATCCATGATTCCGCACTCGATGTTGTTTTGTTAATATGGGTTTTTTTTGTCACAACGTTTCGATGGCACAGCCATCTTAATCAAATGCCTCAATGTTTATGTCCATTACTAAGGACGCTACCTTATGACGTCATAAATGTCATTTTGACGTCATATTTTCCCGCACTAATTTCCTATTCCTTTTTATTCAATTAATTGGTAGTACTATACTTGTTAATATAAAAACTCTCCCTCTCACGCCTATATATTGCTCCGGACTTCTTAACCATTTCTTTTCCTACAATTTTGATATCCTTTACAGCGTGCCCGATGTTGTTGAAGTGTAGTGGTACCGAATTAAATGTATCTCCAGATCCAATCAGATGGAAGTGTCCTTGAATTCTTTCTTTCACCATATTTGATGTTTCACCTATGTTTACTAAATATTCACATTTTTAACAGATAAGACCATATGTTCGAGGTCCTGCAGGTAATCTTATCGTCTATCCTCACTCTGTTTGAATCCTGACCCCTTACATAATCCTCAGTAAAAAGCTTACAGTTCACGCAGTTCCGTCCACATCCATTTCTTTTCATACCTTTACTTATGGTGGTTTTACCTTTCATGATCCTACTCGTTTTCTGGTGTAACAACATGTTAGCAATATTTGTATCTCTTTTACTCAGAGGACACACTTTTTGAAGTTTTCGGGAACGGTGTTGAAGGTGCTGGTGTTTTTGCAGTATTTCTGATATACTCTGCAACTTGTTGCTGTATGTAGTCACAAATGGAACTCGTTCTTAATTTCTTGTTTCTGTTCTTAATTCTAGCAATGTTGTTCTTTTTTATTATCGGCTCGTTTAAGTTGTTTCCCTATTCTGCATCTCCTATGACCCCGCCTCACACAAGCCTGCTCTTCATTATGCCAATGGTTATAGATTCATACATAACCCATTCTTATTCATTGAGAAGCGAAGGCCAGTCTCAATATGCAGAGCATGTCACGAACCATTTACAAGAGAACATTTTATAATAATATCACAAATCTAAAATCTCTATTCGAATCAATAAGTATCTCTACAATTCTAACCTAACAAAAAAGTGTTGGTCTGTTCAAAATGATATAACTAAACCATAGCCACTTAAACAATGTTTGAAGTTGACGTTTGTCTTTACTTTTTCGTTCTTTTGATGTAATTCCCTTTAACATGTGTTATCTACGTTTATTGGCCCTAATGACTTCTTTTGATAAGAATCAAATAATAATAACCCTGAACGCATGTGCCTCTATCTATCGTTCTAAGAATTCGACAGAGGCACAGAAATGTTCTCGTGGTATACTACAGGAATCAACTTTAGACCCGTTTTAAAATTCTGTAAACATTTATCTGTTGCTGTAGAAATTATCAGATGATTTCAGCCTATATATTTGATAAGCAGAAATCTTGCAAAAGTACAAGATGTACTTCAGTGACATTCCTTATATATAATACACGATGTAATAAAAACATACTTAATACTCAGTAATCAAAACGTGTGGTTATTGCACCAATAAAAAAAACTGTCAAAAATTATGTTGAACTTAACCTCAATTTTACAAACAGTAAAGTAGAACAGGTTTAAATTGACACGTCAAGGTCAAGGTTTGAATAATGTATTATCATTCTGCCTACAATCAGATAATAGGTTGGTTCAAGCGACTTCGCAGCCTTCTGCCGATTAAGTGTAGACTAAAATTCTGCAAAGCTCATGTCTTTCCCCCAATTTAATCTGCCATTGCACTGGGCTAATGTAACGCCTGTTTAAGTTGAGAACAAAGGGGTAACAATAAATATAACAATAGTGTGTTAGTGAAGAACTCCGTTTTATTTTAAACAATTATCAAGGTCTGGTGCTCCGGAGGTAGACAGTCGAATTAATTATTCAAAGACACTCCGTATTTAAGTTCTTTCGGGACTCAAAGACAGTTTTTGAATAGATATGAATATGTTTTGAATCTCAATATTATCATTAGGGTAAATTGGTGATAACTTATTTCTGTGTTGCAGATCAAGCATTATGTGATATGAATTGATTAACCAGATTTGTGCAAACAGAGTGTTTCTTTTTGGTTAAATTTTCAGGATTTTCCAATATCTTCATATCTGTAATTTGTTTTAACCATAATGATGTTTGGTTAATTTTTAGATCTTTGTAGTAGATGATCATTTAGCTAGACAGACTGTTACAATTATTAGTATTAAGGAATGATATTAAGTACAATGCTCTCTTCTTTTATTTGCAGTGAATCCATTGCTAGCAAACACGTTGTCAAAACAAGGCGGTGTCCTCGATACCATTGGAGAACAGCAGTGGATTCGCTCAAAAGTCGACCCGCAATCATGAGTTTCCAGACATTTGTAACGTTTACTGTTCTTATTCTGTCTGTTAATGAATCCTTCTTCAAACAAACCGCACAGGAACATGTGTGTTCTCCGTGCCGTTGCTATAACGTCACTGCAGATTGTAGCAACCGGAACATAACAAAAGTACCGGCCTTGCGCAGCAACATTACACAAATCATTCTTTCTCAAAACAACTTGACTACAGTTACAAGGAAGATATTTGAGAGGGTTAAAACGCTTAATATTACAACGATAAAGCTTGATTACTGTAAAGTAACTGCTATTTCCAATGACGCATTTCTGGATTTTCAACAATTAAAACACTTAAGCATGAGTGGAAATCAGAAACTCCCTTTCATGAAACTATCTCACGCGTTGGTAAATATAAACCTTAGCCATTTAAGCCTGGACGATGCGGGGATTAGAAACAAACTTGACGTCGTGTTCATGCCTTTCAAACACGTTAGTAAGCTCAGTCTCCGAGGAAATATGATCGAAAACTTCAATGCTACGTTATTTTCCGACGGATTTCCTTCTCTTAATATTCTCGACCTAGCAAACAATAACTTACAAACGTTTCCGTTCACAGCCAATTTGAGTCAAATCGAGATCTTGAATTTAACGGAAAACAAAATAGAGTCGACAAATCTCCATTTCTGTGCGGACGGATCGGTTCTTTCAAACGGGCTACGTGTGTTGGATCTCTCCTGGAACTTCCTGTCTAACATTTCAGCTTTCAAGTCAGAAGGGCATTGTCTTTTGAGTCTGCAGAGCTTAATTTTAAGTAATAACTATCACATTTTTAAAATTCCCGATAACGTCTTCTCCAGGCTTCCCCGAATCAACAAAATCCTCCTCAAGTATGTAAGCAGTAAAATCGATATTGATCCGCTCGCCTTCAACGTATCAACATTATTGGAACTGCGTCTTACCACTAGTGAACAGCTGAATTTACAGCCGAAACATGTCAACATGTTCAAGTTATGCCCGAATTTACATACACTACATTTAACAAATGTTATTTTCCCAAAAATACACGACAATCTTACCGAAATGTTTTCGAGTTTAGTCAAAATGGAAGATTTTAAAATCAAACGTGGAATTGTACGTGACATTTCTTTTCTATCGACAATGGAACATTTGACAAAACTTGATATGCTTGGTAATTATATACAAGGGTGGAAGCCCGAAATTTTCAGTGATAAACCTTTGACAGAAATCATTCTCTCCGCAAACCAAATCGCCGTGTTTAACCAAAGCTCATTTCCTCAGCATATCTGGGATAATTTAAAATATTTTTCCGCTTCAAGTAATCCATTTGTATGCACGTGTAACCTGTTATGGTTTAAGGATTGGTTAGATGACAACAGGAACAAGCTTTCTACAAATTATCCAGAGTTGTACCAGTGTTTATACCCTGACGAATGGAAGACAAAGACTATTGCCCAATTTGAACCGGAAAAATATGAATGTCAACCCGCTGTAAGCGCGCTAGTTGTGATAGGGATCGGGTTAGGCTGTTTAGCAGGTGTGTTCCTGCTGATAGCTTTCATTGTTTACAAAGGACGTTATCATATCAAACACAGAATGCTACTCGTCCGCTCTCTGCAACCGTACGACCGTCTTCCAGACGGCGAAGAATTTGTGTATGACGCATTCGTCGCTCACCACGTGGAAAATAGAGTCTGGGTTATAAACCATCTTCTGCCCTTCCTCGAGAAACAGAGGAAGCTGCGTCTTTGTATCCACGAAAGGGATTTCCTTCCCGGAAATTTTATTGCCGACAACATCGTTAACAATATGAAGGTGAGCCGGAAAGTGATATTGGTTTTCTCTGAAGACTTTGCGGACAGTGAGTGGTGCCTCTTCGAGGCAACGACCGCCTACAACAGGATTATAGCGGAGGGAGCATCCTCTGTTGTTATCATAATGCTTGAGGACATTAGACACCGGCCCGTCGATAATACTATTAGGAACCTCCTCCTCGCCATCACCTATATAGAATGGGGAAATGATAGGAATCGTCAACCAGAATTCTTTCGGAAACTTCTCGATGCCCTCCAGTGATGTACTCGTATTTCTTACACAACAGTTGGTATTTCAGCTCATTTAAACGGACTTGAACATTTAAGAGTGGGTTATAAAGTTCAGAATTTGCATTTACGAAATTTACAGAATAGAATGTCAGCGTGGATGCAGACAGTGATCTTGTTCCATCCTGCTGCTACTACTGCAAAACTAGATCTGGCGTGGCCAAATGCACCAATCGATAGCAATAGAGGGTAATTTCCTCTGACCCTGACACCAGACTTAGACAATTTTATAGATAGATGTAGACTACGACACAACAAATACCTCACATATATCGATAAATGGATTATGTATTGATCGAAATCCGCTCTTATTATCACAGGATAATCAGCTGCTAAATTCCGTCAGTAGAGTCTACGGTTTTAAATCGTTCAGAACACCCCAGCTGGACGAACGCCAATAGTGTAGGTCACGGTACTGACTTATCAACAAGCCGCACTGATCCGGACCGAAAACCAAATGTATCAGACTTTTTTAGAAGATTTCCGGACCGCCTCTTTGTGTTGATTATATTTGGTTTTGTAACTTTATCTCATTTGTACGTAATTCGGTTTATTTTTATTTCATTATTTCATGTACTTTAGGACAGGAAACGTCTATTTCATATTTCGAAAATATTAGAACGGGAATCAATGTGATATCCCCGACTCCTCTCAAGTAAGTACTCATACAAATGATGATCTTTGCAAGGAGAGCGCTAAAGAACAAACCGTGTGAAATTGGTTGAAAGTGAACTATCTTCTGAAGTAACCAGGTACGAATGTTGACATAAAATTCTTTAGAGAGTTCATGTATGCAATATCAAACTTCAGCGACCTTCAAATTGTTGACTTCTCCGCCTTCTTCAGAAACCGTAGAAATGTTTCTGGTTCTATGTAGTGACCATCTTTCCAATTAATTAACAGATGGGTGTTACCTTATTTGAGATTAATTAAGCTTTTCTTTTAACAGTAATGTTGGTTTGTGGGTATATCTATATACATATAAAAATAACAAAAAACATTTCTATCAATCTGTAGATATTTTTCTTGTAATATATTCAATATTTGTGATGTATATCTTTTAATATCGTTTTTCGTATCTATTTTAGGTAAAGTTACATTTGTTTATGTTTTATGTGTCTGTAAAATATTTGTTTCGCTCGTTGTGACTTTAACATCTCTATAGTAATCGTTGGGGTATACCCCTATTTATCAATTATGAACTTTTGTTGAGGTGAATATGTTGTTATATGGCAAGAGTCCAAAAGTGATATTGACCGAAACAGTCAATATCCCTTTTCCATTTCTGTCAAAACTACACTTTTACCGTAATTGATAAATTGGGATGCTATAATAGATGCTTAATAGTGTTTTGTGCATAGTAGAACTATGAAAATTGTACAGAAGGTGTTGCGTTTGACAGAGAGCATTGTGACTTTTCAATTAAAGTGACGTCATATAGTGAATATGGACCTGCTGTTTCCAAAAATAGTAACTTCGAATCAAAATTACAAAACCTTCGACCACCGTGTGAACCTGATCCAACTAACGAGGATGTTGGGGGAAAAGGTTGTCGTCAAATATAACTTATTTGTATCATGTGATTACAAAAACATTCAATGAAGTAAATTCAGTATATAAATTTTCTTTATGGCACACGCGAATTGAACTCTTTCGCTACGTTGATTGGCTGGTTTCGTGTGAATTGTATTCATACGCGTGAGAACGACCTGCTTCCTTTTGCTATCAATGACTACTTTGTTCTAGACGATTATTAAAATCACTGTTTAAGGGGGATATGAAAGAGTCTAATATTGATCTGCTGCTCACATTACAACACTTCAGATCACTTTTTTTATTATTTACTATCTTTCATCCTGGCGGTGGTCCCCTTAACACTCGTCCTTTGATGTAGCTACTCAACACTTGGTTAGTCCTAGAGGGGGCATGGCTTTGTAAAATAATTATATATGTTTGTGATATGTAAACATCTGGGGGGGGGGGGGGGGAAATACAAACTGGTATCCTGTATTAAATATACTAAGTTGAGTTGTTTGTTTTCTTATACGCAACACTTATATATATATATATACATGACTGAACCTCGGGTCAAACTCAAACGAACCTAACTGGAACTCATAGTATAATCTTACCGTAGAGACCTATTATAGAAAAAGTTAAGAGTGACATTTTTATCCAGTAATAATCCCCGTCCGATTGCAATGTGGTATGTTAGACAGTTCTACTGTAGTCCAACCCCCCACCCCCACCCCCGCCCCTACATACAGAAACCTCCCCTTCATTGCGTTTTCAATATAACTAAAGCGCGAGTGGGCCAGAGATCTATCGTTGAAAAAGTAATTATATTAGTAAGAGTGCCTCTGAATTGATTTCGATCTAGTGTAGTTGCTCTCTTACACACACAGAACACTGTTGTTTTCACTTATTTTTTTCAACTCAAACATTGTTTCAAAACCGTTTTGCAATGTATGGTTTTGATCATTGTTTGCTTATTTCCTCTATTATATTTTTTCACCCTTGCAGGTCGGGGAATGAAAAAAGAATACACCTGTATATTATGTTTAAAATGTAACGATTAAGATTGCATGTACACTTATACAGCATTTCATCAGTATATATATACAATGGATATTCATTATTTGATTACTAAGTGTAGGGTATGTGTGGGGGTTGTCTTCCCTGCGAAATGGAACGGTTGCCTGAACCAGGAAGTTCGGTTTTTCCTTGCGACATGCATATGTGCATACGGGACATATAGACGAATACCATGTGAACACGTCTGTGAGTATTGTAACAGGATTTGATGATTTATATATTCTGTAATACATATATGTGATATACTTTAAATCGCTGATACCATTTCTGGTACATGTTTAATGGAGGGGATTATGAATACTAGGGTATGTAGGTGGATTTTAGATGGAGATAAGTGGGGAAGTGAAAGTTATTTGTGGCCCACATAAATGTAAGTGTCAAAGATTTGGGATTTCGTACTGTAGTAAGAAAAGAGAGAATTTTCAGTCCTGAAAGTTCAATTTCAAAATCATATTTTATACCCACTAACAAGAAAGTTGAATTTGACCCATAAATAGATACCGAGGTTTTACCTTGCGACAATCATTTGTGTATACGTGACAGATAGGCGAATACCCTGTGAATACGTCTGGGAGTATTGTAACAGGATTTGCTGATTCATATATTTTGTACTCCATAGACTGTGCGATATTCTTTAAATCGCTGATACCATTTATGATACAGGTTTAATAGTGGGGGTTATGAATACTAGGGTATGGAAGTGGATTCTGTGCTGATATTAGTAGGGAAGTGAAAGTTATTTGTGGCCCACATATATGTCGGTGTCAGAGGTTTGGGATTTCGTACTGTATTAAGTGAAGGGAGAATTTTCAGTCCTAAAAGTGGATGGGCATTTGAAATGCAACTAATATTGGGTATCAGTGCATTCTTTATGAGTGTTTGGAAAAGTTTTTTTTTGTTTAGGTGCCAATTGAGGGGACAGTATAAGGAACCAGAGAGAGAGAGAGAGAGAGAGAGAGAGAGAGAGAGAGAGAGCAATGATATTGTACGGGAACATAGAAAAGAACTTCGTACCGGGGTCAGGGAACGATATGTTTTTTTCCCGTTGAATTCAGGAGCAGATACTTTTAATGGAAATCTGTACGATGAAAATTTGGGAAAAAATGTGTATTCGCTCGGAAAAATTTCATCCTTATTGTATATTTAACATACATATATTCCGGAGAACCAGATCTCCCATTAAAAAATAAACTTCATTGGGCCAAGTTAAGCACCACCATAATACCGGGGAAGAAAATCGTCGGACTGAGTTAGTTGTTTATGTAAAAGTTTTCATTTTTCAGAAAACCTCCCTTCGTTGGTAGTTTGAGAGCAGAATTTGTAAAGGATACATCGTATTGTTCATTGTGTCATTTTTCCAGACATTCAAAAGGTTTAAAATTGAATTTTGGGGAAATGAAAGAGAAGTATAAGGAAGGAGTGTACAGTCGCGCACGGTGGCCATGGTGATATTATTATACAATGAACAACCCATCTAATATTTCATGTATATGCCAATTTTAAACACAAAATAAGCACTAAAATTGGCATATCCATGATAAAATGGACTGTGTGGGCTTTATAATTTCAAAACAAAATCGAATTTGGTTTTAGACTACAGTTTTGTTTTTTTACAAATTTGTGTCTACACAACAAATTCTAAATGCCTTTTCATGTGGTCTATTTTTGTACTCAGCACATGTGTAAATATTGTGAAAAATCCACCGGAATAACCTATGCTAAAACGAGAGTATTTCTGTTACCAAGTAGGCGATATTTAATTTCAGACAGGTTTTAAGAAAACAAGTACAACTTGCGGGGATCAAATTTTGTTTTTGCATTTTTTTGGTGTTTTTTGATGTGGTAACCATGGCTTTCACAAGTTCCAAATCTAGAGAAAACAGTTTTTGAAAACAAGTTCAGTCTTCTAAACAAAATGTAGTTTATGAATTTATGTATATGTACGTGTGTTGTGCAGGTTGAATCCACTATCCATGTTTATCTGAGACATGCCCTTTTTTTTAAGGATCAGATCATTTCTACTGTACTCTGCTGCATGCCTAAGAAAAAATAGGTAATTAGAAGTACAGAGAAATATAAAGATCCAAAATAGACCCTATTAACCGTTCAGCAATTAAGGGTAATGACAAACACTGGTTAACACGTTGTCAGTATAATATGACCGGGCGGAATGATGTGCTGGGTGCATTTGGCATGGTATTTCAGTGAGATAGCAGTACAGTCCGCATCAGACCCGAGCTATCAAAAACAGGCAAGTACACCAACATGCCCTGTTTCCGGCACACTTACCCACATACACGCTTACACAACACACATAGAGGCACGTCCTTAAATGAATCCAGCTGTTGATAGGATGTAAACAATATAAAACGATACAAAGCTCAAGCCCCAAACGAACTTTTTCAAACGTTCAGGTCAAAGGCAAAAACACCGGTCACAGTGACCTACTTCACGAATTTGAAATTCCACCATACAATGCTTTACTTATTCCAAGTGAAATAGTATAGTAGATATGACCCTAACAAGCTTTATCAAATGGTTTGGGTATAGTTTCTTTTGTGTGTTTTGTAATAGATTAGCAAATAGCTTAACAGATTGTTATAATAAAAAAAAGTGATATTAGTAAAATGTTGTCTTCAATGTTTTTTCAGTGGATACATTTCAAGCAAACTGTCAAAACAAGACCCTGCCATCGATACCTTTGGTGACCGGCAAAAGATCAAAACGTCGATTATGAGTTTCCACACATTTGTAACGTTTACGGTAATTATTTTGTCTGCTGATGCATTGCTCGTCAAACAAACCGCACAGGAACATGTGTGTTTTCCGTGTGATTGCTTAAACGTCACTGCAGATTGTAGCAACCGGAACATAACAAAAGTCCCGGTCCTGCGCAGCAACATTACACAAATCATTCTTTCTCAAAACACCTTGACTACAGTTACAAGAAATATATTTGAGAAGGTTAAAACGCTTGATATTACAACGATAAAGCTTGGGTACTGTAAAGTAATGCATATTTCCAATGACTCATTTCTGGATTTTCAACGGTTAAAACACTTAAATATGAGTGGAAATTGGAAACTCCCTTTCATGGAACTCTCTCAAGCATTGGTAAATATAAACGTTACCCATTTAAACCTGGACGATGCGGGGATTGGAAACAAGCTTGACGTCGTGTTCATTCCTTTCAAACACGTTAATATGCTCAGTCTCCGTGGAAATATGATCGAAAACCTCCATGCGACTTTGTTTTCAAACGGATTTCCTTCTTTAAATATTCTCGACTTAACAAACAATAGCCTACAAACGTTTCCTGCATTGAATCAAATCGAAAAATTGAATTTGGCAAAAAACAAAATAGAGTCCACAGGTCTCCGTTTCTGTGTGAACGGATCGGTTCCTAAAAACAGACTGGTTGAGTTGGATCTTTCCTGGAATTTCCTTTCTGACATTTCCGTTTTCAATTCAGAAGGACACTGTCTTTCGAAGTTGCAGACCTTAATTTTAAACAATAACTATCACATCATCCAAATACCTGACAACGTCTTCTCCCGGCTTCCACGAATCAACAAAATCCTCTTCAGGTATGTAAGCGGTAGAATCGATATTGATCCGCTCGCCTTCAACGCATCAACATTGCTGGAACTCCGTCTTACCACTAGTGAACAGCTTATCCTACGGCCAAAACATGTCAACATGTTCAAGCAGTGCCCGAATTTGCATACGCTACATTTCACAAATGTTGTGTTCAAAAACATATCCGATAATCTAACAGATATGTTTTCGCATTTAGTCAAAATGAAAGATTTTAAAATCAAGCGTGGAATTATATGGGACATTTCCTTTCTATCAACAATGGAGAATTTGACAATTCTTGAATTGTTTGATAATTACATAAAAGGATGGAATCCCGAAATTTTCATGACTAAACCTTTGAAAAAAATCATTCTCTCGGAAAACCAAATTGCAGTGTTTGACCAAAACTCATTTCCTCAGCATATCTGGGATAATTTAGAATATTTTTCCGCTACAAGTAATCCATTCGAATGCACGTGTAAACTGTTATGGTTTAAGGATTGGTTAAACGACAACAGGAATAAACTTTCTAAAAATTATCCAGAGTTGTATATATGTTTATACCCTCACGAATGGAAGGAAAAAACCGTTGTCCAATATGAGCCTGACCAATATGAATGTCAACCCGCTGTAAGCGCGCTGTTGGTGATAGGGATCGGGTTAGGCTGTTTAGCAGGTGTGCTCCTGCTAATAGCTTTCATTGTTTACAAAGGACGTTATCATATCAAACACAGAATGCTACTCGTTCGCTCTCTGCAACCGTACGACCGTCTTCCAGACGGCGAAGAATTTGTGTATGACGCATTCGTCGCTCACCACGTGGACAATAGAGTCTGGGTTATAAACCATCTACTACCCTTCCTCGAGAAACAGAGGAAGCTGCGTCTTTGCCTCGACGAGAGGGATTTCCTTCCAGGTAATTTCATTGCCGACAACATTGTTAACAATATGAAGGTGAGCCGAAAAGTGATATTGGTTTTCTCTGAAGACTTTGCGGACAGTGAGTGGTGCCTATTCGAGGCAACGACCGCCTACAACAGGATACTAGCGGAGGGAGCATCCTCTGTTGTTATCATAATGCTGGAGGACATTAGACACCGACCCGTCGATAATACCATTCGGAACCTTCTCCACGCCGTCGCCTATATAGAGTGGGGAAGCGAGAGGAGTGATCGCCCAGTATTCTTTCGGAAACTTCTCGATGCTCTCCAGTGATGGACTCGTATTTCTTGCACACCAGTTGGGCTTTCAGCTCATAATAATGGACTTGAACATTTAAGAGTGGGTTATACTTTTCGGAATTTGTATTTTATATTACGAAGTTCACTGAATAGAATGTCAGCTTGGATGCAGAGAGTCATATTGTTTCATCCTTTTACTAATACTGCAAAACTAGTTCTGGCCAAATTCATCATTATGTATGCAAGAAACTAAAATCAAAGTCCTATGTGTACCTGTAACTACCAAACACTTCCTCCTCTAATGTCTAAACTACCAACAATTAAGAATACACTGTTTTCGACGCCTTACTCTCGACTATATTCATTTTTGTTACCATACTACTATATGGTAGTCCTGACATGCCAATTCAATATAATGAGTATATTTTGACTGCGTCCAACAGTATATCTGTTATTCAAGAATATTTTGAAACTTTGTGTTCTACTGTTATTGTATGCTTTAATGTTATATTCAGCGTAGAGCCTTTTTGAAAATGTATTCAACTTGTACAGTTCCATGGTGTTACCATATTATATCCCAATAAGTCTTCCCTTCATAAATAAACTTTTGGTTTTATTTGCTACTTTTAGCAAACTCTTTTATTCAAACTCCTCTGCTCCCCTCGCCTTTATTTCTTTAATTAATAATGTATCAACAGTCATTGTAGTCCTATCGCTAAATGTACTGAATGAATGTTAGAAGACGGACGTATACATAAGTAGCATGTGTTTGTTTTCGAATCCTTGTATTATGTATATTATGTGCATTTATCTAATATATTAACAATGCAATTTAATTTCAACTTAATTACGGATCCTAACAATTATCAAAAGGTTGATCGGTTTTGATAGCCTATCAGTCTTACCAGGTGCTTTTTGGAAATGTGGAAATATTATTTATATTATGGTTATTTGCAAAACCGACAAACATAGTCAAGACTTTTTTTAAATGTTTATTTGCTGCTTGATTCCGATCGCAACGTGAGCTTAATTACTGTCAATAAACTTTAAACATTACATCCCCTTGTTACAAAGAATCAGTTTTTTTAACTTTATCTTATTTGCACGTATTTTTATTTTTTTTTGCATTTTTTTCATTATGTTTATGTACTTAAGGACAGGAAACTTTTTTTCATATTTCGAAAATATTAGAACGGGAATCATTGGGTTGTCCCCGACAAAATGTGATATAACCAGGTTCTAGGTAGTGACCAGATTTCAAATTAATTAACAGATGTCTGGTGTCTCTATTTGAGATTTATTCAGCTTTTCTTTCAACAGTATTGTTGGTATGTACATATACCTATATACATACATTAAGTATGAAATATTAACAAATAAATAAAAATCACTTTTTTATAAATCTGATGTTTTTTATTGTAATGTATTTAATATTTGTGATGTATGTCTTCTATTATCTTTTTTAGGTATATTTACATTTGTTTATATTTATCTGTCTGTAAAATATTTTTTTCGCCCGTTATCACTTTTACCTCTCTTTAGTACGTGTTGCTCTCGTTTGGGGTATACCCTTATTTATCAATTACGGACTTGCTGAGGTGAATTTGTTGTTATTTGATCCTGAAAAAGTGATATTAACCGAGACGAAGTCGAGGTCAATATAACTTTTCCGGCCCGTTAAACCACATATTTAACTATATCCGTAATTGATAAATAGGGATGTTTTAATAGGTGCTTAATCATGTTTTAAGTATAATAGAACTATGCAAATTCTACGAAAGAAAGTGCAGCATTTGGCAGAAAGCATTGAGACATTAAAATAAAAGTGACGTTATGAATTGAATAAGGACCTGCTATTTCTTAAACTAGTAACATCAAATCAATATCAGAAAATAACCGACCTCTACGTAATCATGATCCAGCTTTCTCAGTCTGGCGGTGGCCCCCTAAGCACTCGTCCTTGTATGACCTGGGCTGTTGCAAGGACGTTAAACCCAAAACAAACAAACAAACCGATAGCACTGATCTGCTAGCAAGATAGTCACTTTTCTCATACTGTATCTCTTTCTACATTTCCCGTTAGTGTTGCTAGGAGTTCATTCTAGACCAGGGACGCTGTAGGGAGACACTTGAATACATAGGTAAACATCATTGATGTAGCTACTCAACCATTGTTAGGTCATAGGGTGGGCATGGTTTTGTAAAATA